TATTTCTATATATAAGAATATATATATATATATACACCGAGTGGGTTCTAATAACCGTTTTCCACCGTCTTACAAGATTTTCACAAAGGAACGTACCGCACAAATTCATCATTTGTTGTTCCTACGACTAACGATTACATTAGTCCCGGCTGTTCGGAGGAAACCTGCTTTCATCATGCAGAGTTAAAATGCATCCCCAAAATATTCAGTCACATATTGTCACCTGGGACTAACTTTCTGGTGATTTCATTTTCACTGCTCAAAAAACATTCTACATTGATGCTGATTTTGAACTTCATCATATTCGAGTGCGTTTCTGGTCGTTTCTCTATCCAGTATCTTGACCAAGTGTGCAATGGTTTTGTCCAATAAGATTCAAATGGCAATTACGCAAGTCGAAATTATAGAATAACTGTCCAGAAGCAGTTCTATTCATATTTCGTCATCCTATTTTTTTGTGACTAATATACCTACATCCGGAAATGTGAGGTTCTACTGAGTATTGGAAATTTGATGACTTTATTTCACACTTAAGGTTCCAGTTTATCTACAAGCTTTTTGGCGTTCACATGAATTCTTTTTTTCCTCTGAAAGTGATAAGCGATGAGAAGAGAAAACAACTGCTGGGGATATATGAGCGCCGCAGAAGAGCTCAGGAACCTGCCACCGTAGAACAACCGGCTCCAGATGATTCATTCACATGATACATAACACTGAACTCGTTCGTACATATATCACCGTATGCGAACAGAAAAATAAATAAATCCTGGCCAATTTCACTTTTGGTGGACTTTTATTTAACAAAACAAAATCTAGGTCGTAATCATATTGGGAATGGAACCGCACCACAATTATTGGACTATATTTTCTAAAGTCGACAAAGGGCGTCCAATAAGCTAGTGAAAGTTATAAATAATGTCTCTGTGAATTCAATCACTATTAATTATCCTAAACGACGCCGCCTCGTCAGAATTAGCTTCATGTGCAGACATCAAAAACGATAAAAAAAAACCAAATGACGGCTAAATAGTTTAGAGAATTTATGTTTACCTGTCAATCTCTCCAGGTGAGAACCATGCACATCAATCCACCATGAGAGTTTGGCCGCCTCTGGCACTCTTCCACACTTCACATGGTTGTGCGAAAGGAGCCCTTCGAGAGAGTCGGTCGACTGGCATACGCAGCATGTGGCCAAGCCAGCGCAACATGTGCAGTGTGTTCAGTTTACCTGTTGAGGGTCAGTTATTTCTCCCGAATATCATTCGACGTGCTTCTGAATTGCTGATCCTGTGTTCTCACCAGATTCGTGCAATGCTCCGAAGACATCGATGGTCAAACACTGAAAGTCTTTTCATGTCCTCGGCCCACAGCGACCAGGTTTCTGATCCATATAATATATGGAGCGCACCGCAGTATTGTGAACTCGACCCTTGACACAGAAGCTGATGTCACGCCTACGCCACAGGTGAAGCAGGTTCAAAAAAGCTGCTCTCTTCTCAAATCTGATGGAATTCCAGATTCTGCCTGCATTTGTCGCAACCTGATTATGCATTGCAAGACTGTTTGGTAGAGTTTGCCATCAGGAAAATCCTTGTCTGTTTTTCAAAATTCCCGGTTTGTTCCTGAAGAAAACCCAGATATATTTTTATGGCAGCTACTCTACTTCGACTGCTCCCTAATTCTCTCAGCAATTTCATGCAGCTCATCCTTGGGGTGAAAAGTGGCAATATAAACTGTATCTGCCGAATGAAATTACTTCACAGAAAATGTTATTTCTTTGAGGTTTCTGTGATTTTGCTAATGTGTTCATTTGCAACTGAATTGTCTTGACTAGCCAAACACAACAGGCCATTTATGAGAAGCATAAACAGGCTGACATCCAAAAGCAGCGAGGATTGACTCTTAGACAACAAACAAGTTGGGCTGTGTGTTCCATGGCCTCATCGGTACATTGACGATAGGTAATAAGCAAATCCCTAAAGGGATGCTTAACCACAAGCTCCTCACCACTACATGGACAGAATGTGGTACAGATCGCTTGATTTTCCTCAATAGAGATATCGTCGCGTAGTTGAAGCCGATTTATACGGAAGAGCTGGGGAGCTCTGAATAGCTGTTTCATCCTCATGGAGCATCTTCATCATGCAAATATTCGTGAATGAACTTAGGCTTTTGTGCCTGGTACGCATGCTCACCAGCAGATGACGGTCACCCATTGGGACCTATTTTATGCATTAAGGCCCTCCTGGCCTTGATTACTGATTGACCGACTTTGTCACGATAAACAACCCCACAAGATGTCAGCTATTTTTATGCTGTGAAATCTCTCGAAAGTCGTAAAACTGAGTAAAATTGTACATCGACTGACGGTGTACCTTCCAGAATTCCTGGCTCATTCCGGTCGAGTTCAAGGCTGTGCCAAGAGAAAAGCGGATATTTGCGTAAAAACCACTTGACGCAGCTCTTTCTCGCACAATTCCGTACACTGTATGTCAGGCAGAGTTTGTTCAAATTCTCACCTGGCGAGAGTTCAAAAAATCGTTCGGCGTAACATGGAATCAGACAACGTTTCCTTGGCTATTTCACGAGGGGCTGTTTCGAGCATTATCCAACAGCACGTATCATCGACTTTACATGAGCTTTAGCGCCCGCCTGATGATTAAAACCGTAACCGACAAATGTGTTCGGAG